CACATAGAGGCACTGCCAGGGAGCACTGTGGAGAGTAGGCGTTGGAAGTACTGCCCACGAGACCCAGAGTGACAGTACCCTGCAGCCCTCTGATTAGCCATGTGCCCCTACTTAACCCCAGGAAGTTGTTTGGGCAACCACACAGACCTTGGCCTGCTGCAACACTGGACTTTACCTTGTCTCCTGATTTCTGGCCTCTGACTCCAGCCTGACTTAGACCCCAACTCCTGCCTCCCGATTCTAGGCTTGTACTGCCTCTGATCTCTGGTCTTCAACCCTGGCCTGACTCTTGTTTACAGGACCTGGCCTTGTGATTCCTCCAACTCCTGCTCAGTGACTCCCATCCCCGGTGGGCAGACCTAAGCCCAGCTGTGACCGCGTGGCAAGACCACCCATTCTCCAGACCTTTACGTAGTGTTTTTTCCCCTCAACCCCCAGTCATACTATAAGCACATTGGTAGTCCCATTGAAGTCAGTGGGACTACTCACAGTCCAGCAAAGCATGTGAATAAAGAATGGATAACTTGTTAAATCAAAGGGTTTGATATGATTCTAATGACAACTTATTGAACAATTCTGTATCGCCCGATTATAAAGATTTTACATTGATTACATAGTTGGCTTTGCTTTCTTTACAATGTATCTGTGTAAGCTGAAGTAGAAGAAAATTGGTATTGGCTTTTGTTTTGTTTTTTCAGAATTGAGTGACGATATTGAGCTTTTTTTTTTTCCTGTTTCCTTTTTTTCTTAACTCCCAGGGTGTTTAGTAGATTCTGTAACAATGAGGATATGTTTAATTAATATATAAATTGGTAACAATGGAAAGCTAATTTATCTTTGTCATTTATATTATCTTATCTTATTTAAATGCTAAATAAAATAATTTCCAAAAAGCACACACAACTTATATTGTGCTGTGTATGTTGAGTAAGTAAAGTTGTGCCAAGTAAATAATAATAATGTATGTACCCAGAAAGAGATTACAGTAAAGAAAGATGGGTGATAACATCTGAGGTAAAATCTTTTGTTTACTACTGGATTTGTTTAATAATTAATGTGTTCAATTACATCTAAACAGATGCCTGGGTTTTGTAAATGCCACTTTGAATTGGAGGCATCATAAAGTGTCAGTCTTAAAACTCTGTTAGTTGTCAGTCTCCTGGGTTGTAATTGCCACTCACTACTGGTAGTGGAGATAAAATTCCCTTTCCAATCTAGTATGTAACATGATCCTATATGGATATCACACTATTAAAATAGGACAAAAGACATTTGCCATCTCTCTTTTTTTCAATGAAAGCGTGAGTATTAAGCTTTCATTCCAACCTACATCAGGGAGGATTCAGTATTACAACTTTATTTTTCTGTTTGTTTACAGACCGGTGTACCGGGCTTGGTCCTCCTTTCACATACACTAGTTTTGCACTGATAGAACTCACTGACTTCAGTGGCATTACTCCTGATTAACACCAGTATACCTGGGAATAATTGGGTCCAGTGAGTCAATATCTGGTAGATAGTTTAAAAAGGAGTTTTGGGAGAGGAAAATTGCAGGCATTGTAACTGTGAACTTTAAGAGATTGATGTGTGACTGAAACAAAAGTCCAGACATGACCATTTATTGTTCCTTGTGATTTTTTTAAACATGAAGAGTTTAAAGACAAATATCTGCAACTTAAGTTGTTAGTTTGTAAAAATGTGAAGACCTAATGATGCACGTTGGATGCATATTAATGGTACGTATTATTAGGAAAGTGTCTCTGGATATTTAGGAAAGTCTCTATCATTTTTCCATTCAGTCCTTGCAAAAATCTCCTTCATTCTCATGCATTTCAGTGGAGATGAAAGCTGCGTACCTATTTCTCTCCCCATATATGCTTATTTATAGTTTTGAAATGTTACCAAGTAGGATTAATAAATTCTGTATCTTTTAAATGAATGTTCCATTTTAATCCCAACTCAGTAAGGAATAGCCTTTGTAAAACTGAGATTTGGAAGGATATTTGTACTTCTGCATAAGTTTTCATGGCAATGTCTGGCATATGGCTTTCAACTTTGTCTTTTGGTTTGGAGATGTGATTAGCTGAAAGCATGAGTCGAACAGAAGTAGGTTTTTTTGTTTTGCCTTTCTTGAATTAGTCAGCTTTGTGAAGGTTATATTACTTCCCTTTATTAGCAGAAACAGGCTGATATCTACAAAAATGTACTTCGGCCTCTGATTTCAAAGTCTAAATTATTATCCATTTAAAAAAATAAAAGTAAATCTAGAATCCATTTGTTTCTTGAATCACTCTGTTTTCAGTTGAAATCACTGGTGTGTAATGTTTTGCTTTGTACAGTGCTGAATGTTTCCATGAACCATTTTTAAGGGCTGGTCTACTCTACAAAGTTCTGCCACTTTATCTGTGCGGGCACAGTTCAAGCAGAAACACCCGCATCCCCCGGAATGTAGATGCTGTTCTGCCGGTGTCGAAGTGCTTATGCTGGTGCAGCTTATTCTAGTTCAGGAACTGAAATAAGCTATACTGGCATAGGTACCTATATATTAGTGTAACAGCATCTAATGCGGTTTTTACCAGCATAACTGTTGGCAAAAAATCACACCCCTAATTGACATAGTTACATTGTTAAAACTCTTAACTGTAGACTAGCCCTAAGATATTTTGCATTGTTGACCATGTAAAACCTACATTTGTGACTTCTGCTGCTCTGATTTGGTATTCGCCTTCTTTCTACAGCTGTGATTCAAAATCAAGGCGAGGTGATAAGACAAAGAGGGTTGTGGGTGCTCAGTCTCCCCTAGGAATAATGCCCTCACTGCACCGTATGTGCCTGTGACATAGTGAATAATATGAAAGTAAATATGGAATGCAAAAAGTCTGGGGTGAAATTCAACTCTGTGTAGAGAGTCGACACCAGGGCTATGTGCCCTTTAAATCCAGTTTAAGCCCTATTTTGAGGTTTTATGTGCTGCATTGGCCTTGCACTGCCCTCTGCACTGGGGGGGGGGGGGTGGTGTTTTTCTGTCAGAAGTAGATTTGCAAGTTTAATGATATTAACACGTTGTTCAGAATGAATACTATCATATTGAATCTTTACACTTATAGTTTATGTAGATGATTAATGAACACATATCGTATGTCTCCTGTATATTATATGGCCCAGCAGTTTCAACCACTCTACCTGTTTTAAATATATCTGCGTTTAGAAAGGTGGTATAGCTTTCTGTTTTGATAACTGCTGAGTGAGTCCTAACCATGTGGTTACATTGTATTCTCAGAAATCTTGTCAGGTGAGTAATTTCCTCTTCGAATTATTTTATGATTTAATCTTTTGGAAATGTTAGTCTGCATGAGGAGCACCCATAAACTACTCTAACTTGGCTAATAACCATTGTTTCTCTCTAAGGCACTCTTTGGAACTTATCATCCTATGAGCCCCTGAAGATGGTGATCATTAACCATGGCCTTCAGACACTGACAAACGAGGTGATTATCCCCCATTCCGGATGGGAGAGCGAGCCGAATGAGGACTCTAAGCCTCGGGATGCTGAATGGACCACGGTCTTCAAGAACACATCTGGCTGCTTGCGGTAAGATGGGAGCAGGGATTGTGCTTCTGTGGTTCGTAGCATCTTAACATATGTTTAAAAAAGTGGTTTATTTACCCTGACTTTGAAATCAAATATCCTGCATCTCTTTTGCAGAGGTGCACTTAGGAGCTCAATGTGGCAATATGGGAGGCTCTCGTTTTGCCACAGAGCCTTGTAAGTGCTGACATTCCAGTCGCATTTGTGTGAGTGGTTGGTCATTTGTGTTAGATGGAACATTATAGCTATAAATGTTAACCTTTCCCTTAGTGGGGGCAGTGCTTAAAGAATGGTGATTTCCTGAGTTATATCCCAAGAAGGAAATATGCTATTGCAGGCATAGTCGTAAGTGCTAGAAATCCAGCTTTAATCAGGTGTGCTGGGATCAGTAGGCTGGTTCTGGTCATTTGTCGAGTCCTTTCCTTAGTTGCCCATTTGAGGGGGTTTTTTATGACAAGTTTTCTAAATGAGTCAGTTCTTTGACGTTCTTCTTGCACAAGTGGACTTTTATTCCCAGCTGGTGAGGGAATGCATAATATCAGTGTTAGCTCTTTTTTTATTGATTTAAGCTAAATCTAGAAGACTTCGGATTCAGATTTATCTGCAAACGCCCCAGGTGAAGATATTGACTAACTTGATTTCAGATTCCAGTGAGTGAGGAGCTGTAGGATATATATTATGAACCTGTCAGAGATGCACATTCAGTGTAATTCATAGGTGTTAGCTTTAGATACAATTTGCCTGCTGAGCATTAAAGAACCAGTTCCCAGTAAAAAAGACCTTTGATTAGGTATTATTTGCATTTCTTAAATCATCCACAACTGGACAGTGCGTGTTGGAACACAGGGTCTGAAAGAGCCTTCAGCACAGCCTAAGGTACTGACATTCTGTATAGAGTGACTGACTTCCATTTTGATGTTTTTCCTTGAGGTTTTTGTAAATAGTCTATAAGAGATTAAACAGTGTATATACACTGTTAAATTCTTCAATGTTATGGTGAGGTCTAATAGTTCAAACAAAACTAATCAAGATTCCATATTGCACCTTCTGGTGCACTGAAGTGTACTTCTGTCAGATTTCTACTGATTAATATATCTTCAGAAAGTTGCTTCATTTCCGTTCCTTGGGCTTGCGGTCTCTAAATTGCACTAACTATTCCCATGAGTAACTTCATGAATGCAGAAAGTAATGAAAAGTGTTCTGAAAGGGCCCGTTACTGAACTTATTTGCAGTCCCACTGGAGATGGAAGTCCTTTGAGTAGGATCCAGACATCATAATTTTTTCTTAGCAGTGCCTCACTTTCTAATGGTTTTGCAAGAAGAAATTAGTTATGGTGAGAATAAAAGGATTATCTGAATGAGTCTGAGATTCTCTAATGATTGCAGACAAAAAACTGATCGTTAATAGATTAACCTGATCCATGTCATAAATTTTCTATTGGCACCTGCAATGCTCTGATCTACTTGAAGTTCTGCATTCCAAGTGTGCTTTTTGTTTTTGTTTTTAAATTAAGGTGCTTCTTTTGGAAGAAAAAGAACAAGAATTTTATTTCCAGGACCCAGCTTTCTTCAGCATAATGAACATGGGCATACAGAGCTAGTGTAGTGTTAAGATCTGCTAGCTGCAGAATTCCACCTCCCTTTTTAGATAACTAAAGTGGTCCTGTTTTAAGAAACTACTTGGCAATGTAATGGCACTCAGTAATAAACATATGTGGTGCCTACTGCTAGAGCTGCGCATGAAAACGTATTGCAATCCTCATGTCTACAGTCTGTCTTCTATCACTATTGCGTGTGGGGGTGGGGTGGGGGATAATATCTATCTATCCCTTTTTTAAATTCAAAGAAAGCTAGTCCTTTGGAATGCTGAGTATGTGATCCAGAGAATTTGTTCAGGTAAATGGGGAAAAATCTGCAACAGTTAAAGAAAGCAATTTATCAAACTTTTGTTTTATAAACTTGGTATTGGAATGAATAGCCATTGTGTGGAGAGAGGAGAATTGTTGTGATAATATAACCATTTTATCCCATTGCTATCAGGAGGCATTAAAGGAGAGGCAGGATGATCCATACATAGAGCAAAGGATTGGTGTAAGCATATGGGCTCTTTCCGGGCTCTAGGGTTCTCCTTCTGTATTATGTGGGTAATTATACCTATCTTCTGTAAAGCACTATGAGATCTATGGGTAAAAAGGGCTATATAAGAACAAAGTGTTATAATGGGTGTTGGAAATCTGTTGGAATCTATAATAAAATTCTCTGCAGCTCATCATTAAATGTATCACCAACATAAGATGGCTAACGCCATCAATGAATTGTGGTGTTTTAGCTGGCTTACACTGCAGCCATCTGTTTGACATCCATGTTAAAGCCCCTTTGCCCGCTCTTCTGTTGATGCAGCAGTTGGTCATAGAATTCAATTTTTGGCGAATGGAGCTAATTACAAACTGTAACACATATTTACCATTTGCAAAAATACATGATCTTATTTGTACTTTGGAGTTTATTCCTCTTGACTGTTTGCCAAGCCCACCTTGTCTTCTCTGCAGGTGATTCTGAAGGGAACACTGCACTGCTCTCTGAATGAACTAACTGAGAAACGAGCAACTATTTTGACAGAGCTTTTAAAAGTAATTAAGATCACTTGGACTCGGCAGTGCCAGTGCACAGCATGCGTATTACACATGCACAGCTGCTTTTATTTCAGTATTTTTCAGGAATGTTAATGAAATTTACCAACCAGTGTGGGTGGCTTTGTGTCAAACTCCTTGCTTCACTATGTGAATTGCTGCTATGTTAGTCCGTGCTTTTGCTGATGTTATTTATCTTGCACTGATCCACAGATGGAGAGGCTGGGGGATTGGTGATATTAGCAGTGATATTGGGCATGATATGTGCATTGTGTGAGGGAAGGAAGCATACTATGGTTGAATACCAGTGTTTAGAGCTAGTGTCTCAGCTGAGATATCTACACTGTCACTGTGATTCCAGTGCTGGAGCTGCTTTTTATTTAGGCCTTGCAGCACATGCTACCTACTTCTTCTAACCTTGTGAAGTTTAAAAACAAAACAAAGATAAGGAGCCTTATGATTTAGTGCTAGACCTCCCATTCACCAAGCTGGCAGGAATACTTAAATTAAGCTTGATGTTAGCATTAGCCATGATGGCTGTACGTAATTGTATTCAGCAATCCATTCCGTAACTGCTAAATCTAAGTCAGGGTTTAAGAAAACTCAAATGGTGGTGCTAAGAAACACAGGATATAACTGGCAACTTGAGACCAGCAAGAACTATAATGTCCCTCTCTGTCCAGAAGCCTCAATAAAGAATCCACTTGATATTTGTTTCACCGAAGTCCTGTCTCTTCTCTGCCATAAGTCACATAATTCCTGGACAGCCTGTAACCAGATGAAACACTACTCTGAGCTACCAGGGAATACGCAAGATCTTGAAATGCCAAGTAGGGAGCAGAGGAAGACAGGGCTTCCTATCAACACTTTTTGTTGACTTTAGCAACAGATATTTGTTGTTTTGGGGGCCGCTTTTATATTCATGTGGCAAGTTCATATTGTTTGTATCCCAATATTAGACTGAAATATGAAAAGCATGTTCCATCCATCGCCCTAATCCTAGCCACTCCATCTTCACTCTGTATGCAACCTGCCAACAGTTACGTCTTTGAATGACAAGAAGGAAAACCTCAGATTTCATTCTGTTAATGCAAAACTTGACAGTTACAACATTGTGGCCATTAACTGGGGTTGCTGCATGCCATCTATATTTCACCAGGAAACTATGTCAAATATTCATGTATTTGTGGAGATGATGCTGATTTTCAATTTTGTTAATCTTCCTCCTGGTCCAAGGAAGGATAATGGCCCCTTCCCTTGTCAAGCTTCACTTATTGCGTCAGATTCAATATCTGATTCCTGAGAAAGGGATGATCATCTGACAGATCAGAATAGTCATAAGCCTTTTGATACTAATCAGGAAGTTGCACAAAATTTGGTAGTTCCCTTTCTCTCTCAACATGGCCACCAGGATAAGGGAGTGTTGAAAATCTGGGAATGCATGATGTGCTTAACTTTTTTTTCCATGAGTGTTTTTGCTGGACTCTTGACCTTCAGAGACTGTATCTCAATTTTAAGGAATTTGGGTGTTAAATAGGGTTAGACTTTGGGATGTTATTTCCATTTTGTCAGTGTATATTTGGAAAACCCAAGGTGATCCCATAAGTAGTCTGAACCAAGTCCCAATGATCGGAGCAACACTCCTTATTGAGAAGGTTCTATTATAGGGTATATCTATATATTAAAGTGCTGTTTGTGAATGAGTATCTCCAGCTTTCTTAAGCAACATGCTTGATGATCTGAGCTGTAGAACACCGAAATATAATCACCAGCCCATTGCAAGCCTCCCTCTTTGAGCAACTTCAGCCTGATTTGCTCATAAACCAGCAAACCACGGATCTGTTGCTGTCCTTTTCCTAGCTGCAATAAACAATGTACAGCTCTCCTCCCCAAAAGCGTTGTTCTGAATCTATTCTGCTATGTGGGGCTGGAGAAGTGGGACTAGGAAGGAAGAAGGGAATTTGCCAATAGAATCGGTAATAAACACAGGTAGTTCTCTTATTTCATTTGGTATGCAAATTTGATGTCCTCAAACTCCTTTTCCACACTCCTAAAAGAATAAATCAGATGTCTCTTTTAATTACTGTCTGTCTCTTTATTATTTAATTCCTGCCTGGTTTTCCAATCCAGAAACATTTGCTTTTAAACTATACTATAATCCAGTTTAAATAATGTTCTGACTTGATGTATCTCTTAAAAGGGCCATTTAGCAATCCTTCCTTCAACTTTGACTAAGACATTAAGGCTCATTAGTGGAAGGGTACACTTAATGGGATCATTCCGTGAGAGAGATGAAATTTAGGTTAACCTGCACTCGTTAACTCAGTGCCAGAGACCTTCAGTGTTTCTCCATGTTTGTGCTGAATTGTTTCT